AGCCACCATCATCGGAGGGGCCGGGGGCGACAAGCGCGCTCCAGCCTCGCCAAAGTCAATATTGATGTACTCGCCCGGGCTCTTGGGCTCGGGCGGTGGGGGGCACTCGTGCATGCTGGGCAGGGTCTGAAGCCCCTCCAGGGACAGGCGCGTGGGCCTCACTGCCCGGCAGCGCTGGCTCAGGAAGCCCTCGGGGCGGCTACTGCTGCTGCCACTCTGCCTCCCTGCAGAAGGCACTACGGAGTGAGGAGGCTGAGCGTGGCTGCCCCCACCGACCCCAGCCACCACGCTGCTGGCCAGGTGCGTGGTCCCCACGCTGGCCTGAGGCTCCAGCCTCTCCTCTTCCAGGATGCGCCCCACGGGGGAGCTCATGAGCACGTACTGGTCGTTGTCCCCATTGCAGGTGTAGGGAGCCTTGTAGGAGCGGGGTAAGGAGCTGTAGCAGTAGCCAGGGACGCTCCTGAGCATCTCTCCAGCGCCGTGCAAGGCTGCGGTGAAGAAGTCGGGTGGGGTTCCCGCGGTGCCCGCGTCGCTGGGGGACATGTTGAGGTAGTCCCCGTTGGGAAGCTGCTTGCTGTCGGTGCTCTCCGTAGGCAGCTTGGAGCCACACCACATGCGCATGTAGCCACTGTCCTCAGGAGAGCTTTCTGCCGGGGAGCTAGCCTTGTAGCTGGCCCTGTTCACCGGAAAGGCCCGGCCGGCCACATTGGTGGGTGCCGGCGCTGCTGCAGGGCCGGTGGTGGGCAGAGCTGCAGCAGCAACCCGTGGGTGCAGGATCTGCTTCGGGGCAGACACGCTGGTGGGGCTCATGGGCATGTAGTCGTCACTCTTGCAGCTGCCACTGCCACCACCCATGAGGGCCGCTCCAGGGGTCATGGGCATGTAGCCATCATCCGTGCCCAGGTTGCTGCTGGAGCTCCTATGGGACCCAATCTCAATGTCACCATAGTCCTCAGGATAAGGGTGATAGGCCACTCTGGGAGAAGACGTGGGGCAGGATGGGCAGAGGCGGCCAGAGCTGCCAGAGAAGGTGGCCCGCATCAGGGTGTATTCATCCAGGGACGCAGAGGAGGGCTGGGGCACCGCCCGCTGCCGGGCAGGTGTGGTCAGGGAGTAAGTCCTTTTCCTCAACCCTCTGTCCAAGTCCTGGGCTCCGTCCCCTGAGACTCGACGGTAGGGGCGGCCACAGTGGCTCAGGGGCCTGTCCATGGTCATGTACCCGTATAGCTCGCTCCCACTCCCATCCTTGGCAGGGGGTGTCTCGGCGATGGACTCAGGCGTGTTGCTCCTGTGGCTGCAGAAGGCTCTCACGTCCCCAGGGCTGGAGCCGTACTCATCCAGGGACATGAAGCCGGGATCGCTGGGGGAGCCAGAGGCTGAAGCGCTGCCACTGGAGGGCCGCTGGCCCGCGTGGTGGTGCAGGGGGTGCTGCAGGTGC